AGGAGGGGAGTGATGTTATGAGCACCCGCACCACACGACAACAACAGAGGCAGCACTGTGCACACGACCGGCACCATGAGCCGCGCGCACGCACCGCGCGCAGCGGCACCACGCGCAGCGCGCACCGCGCGGCGGCAGCACCACGAGCTGCGCCCACGCACCCGATAGTAGCAACAGAGCGGGGCCCACACGATAGCTCATAGGGGTGGGCCGACCCTTATCTGGACATGTCAAGAGAACTCGCCTCCAGCCTTCCTTATCTCTTATCTGTTATCTTATCTTATCCTTATCCCTATCTTAAGTAAGAATTGTGTTACCATTAGGAGTAGGTAATTAGTAGTTTGAGTTCAAGTTGGAGTTTGAGTTTAATTAGGAATTTCCTTCTGTAATCTCCTATTTAAGGAGCCACGAATTGAAATAAAGGATTTAGTTTTCTAGTCAAGAAAAGAATGAGGAGAGTTCGGGTGGTCTCTTGAACAAATCACCCCCTCAGTTTGCCACCATAGGGTCAACTCGCAAAGGGAAGGGCAAGGGAAGGCAAGGAGTTTCCCCCACAAACCGCCCCATGACGAGATCCTACGCCCCGGCCCATAACAGAAACACCTTAACACCTCGGGGATAAGGGCGTGAAGAGGGAGACGAAGCCCGCCGACGAGCTGTTCCCTGAAAATCACGACCTCATCCGGACCATGCTCCCAGGTGAAATTACCGGTGGGAAGGCTGTAGCCGTACTCAGAAGGAAGGTTGAACTACTGGATGAGGTCTCGAAGCCTCTCCGGTGTCARAGTAGAGGGACCGAACTGGTCCAGCACCCGACCTCGATGGGAGGTGGACGCCAACTTACCCGGAGCTGCCCACGCTTCGTGGGCAGGTCGGGCCGGGGAAGGGTCACCATGACCCGAAGTGCCCACCCCAGGCTCATCCGAGAAGCTACTCTCGCTAGACATATGGAGGACGGGCTAAGAAAAGAAGAAAGAAAAAGAAAGGAAAGACTCAGAAACTCACCTGAAATAGGCGAAAACGAGCTGAAAAGACCCGAACTAGAGACTTTAGATGCGAGCTCAAAGCGAAAGCTACTTAGCAGCGAAAGGAATGCCAGAACTCCACTATTTATAGACGTGGGGCCCGGTGACCAATGATCAGGATTGGATCAATCCAATGGACCTCAAAGAAACTGGCTACGGGGCTCCCGACGCGAATTTAATTTAGTGCATTTTTTGGCGTCCGCGTAGCATAAAGTGCCTGACATCCACGCGTGAGTTACACGAGACGTGGGTTTTTTCCCGTAAAGAACCAAATGCCTGGCCGGTCCATCCATTGAACCACCTAGCATGGCAGTGTGAGTAACCGAGCCAAATCCGCCAGCAAACCATGAACTCCCCGCATTGGGGCCCCCCATCCCCAGCACAGGGAGTGGGGGGCAATTGATGGAGGACTATTTGGCTCAACCCCATGAACCCAGGACACGTGCGCATGACCTGGCTTGGTGAACTGTCCAGCCTAGTAGCACGATCCCAACTCGGAACGAAGGAAACGCCAAGTCAAAGACAGTCAACTCACCTAGGGCTAATACCTCGGTGAGTCAGTCCCCCGCATAGCTCGGAGAGCCCGGACTCTCCTCTAAGGGATGCCAAGCTTTTACCCACCTGGGAAGGAGCACCTCGGTGCTTTGAGGCAGGGACCCTTCTGCCCTGAAGCACCCCAGTTTGTGGCAGCTMGGCGAGCTGCATGAGGGAAGGCAGGAAGATCTCCTGCCCGACTGCCGTACCAGACAAATCTGGTGACAGCAGTCGTGTCCCTCGTCAGACAGCGTCGTGCCTGCCACCTTTAGAAGGTGTCCTACACCTGACAGACATGTACCCAGCGATGACGGCCCCGCGCGTGCCACCTCAGCTCTACCAATAACGGTTGTGGCAGGTTGGCAGTGACGGTTATACCCGCCCTGTCAGAGGCCGACGGGGAGAGGTAACAGATTTCTGCTATAAGGAGTTTAGCATCAAGGCAAGAGGGGGATTCATCTACGGTACACGCGCTATCTCCACTCTTAGTCTTCATCTTCCTGCTTGCTTCTCCTACCAAGTACTAACTTAATCATCGGAGTGTTCCCGCCGGGTAACTCCCTCCGGGAATTTTCTTCTTCTCAGGTATCTTCCAGGAGCCACATGAGTGCCAGCTAGGAGTGACCGGATCGCGCTACATCAAAATCCATGAACATATTTTTAGGGTAAACTACAAAACACCACTCTATACTTAGGGGTGTTAACACTTTAGCCCCTCAAACTATGTTTTGCAAAAAAAACCCCTTGAAACTTCTAGAACCTTGTCCCTAACCTATTAAGAAGGGTTGATAGTGAAATAAAATTACTAAATTGCCCATTTGAGATTTTAAGGGTTGATAGTTGACACAAACAAATATCAAAATGATGAAAATGTTAATTTCAAGCACAAACTATTCTAAAGGTATCGCTGAACCCATCATTCTCAAGGCATTTTCAAGATGAAATTTGTTGAAAGAATGTTGAGAGAAACAAGTGATAGATTGGATTTTAGAAAAACTAAGTCAAGAAGGGCGAAGTGATCTCATAAAATAATTAACATGAGGGTAGTTTGGATTTTAGACATATTTAATGGATTATTTTGTGAGATTATCTGATAGAATTAATGTCATTACCCCTCAATATAGGGTGGTTGTTTGTGATTTACCATTAATTTTAATAGTATAGAAACCTATAATTTAAAAAGTGACCCATAAATAAAAGGGAGAATGACGGTTTAGCGCAGGGTTAGAATTTGTAGGCCAAAGTAATGCTGGAGTGTTGGGGTAGGTGCTAGCTCGGAATTGATGCCAATTCACGAGCAGGCATTGGTGCATAGAGTGTGGGTTGTTGACATTTTGAATGTTTATAGCTCTTAGTGAAAATCAGAAATCTGCATTGGCTTTGTCTGTACTTTTCCATAAAATCAGTTTATTTAAGTGGCAAGTAAGCGGTTCAATCATTTGGGTCAAACAAGTCAATCCATTATGTCATAATTAAACACTAAAAACTAAAACAGATAAATATATAAAAAGTAGAGAAATTTTGTAGAAAATTTTGGGAACATCTCTAATATTATTATTTTTCATATTAATAAAAAAATAAGTATAATATAAAAGAAGTATTTTTATTAATTAGGGGGAAAGGGAATGTTAAATTAAATTAGCACCAATATGGAAGTGAAATCGTTTTCATGTTTGAATGGTCAGTGGCTCAACCATTCAGGTGATAAATACAAAAATACAAAAAAAATATAAAAATAGAGAACACATCTCTAATCTTATATATTAATCACATTAAATAAAAATAAGTGTGATAAATAAGAATTATTTTTAGTAATGATGTAAATGAAATACAAAACTTAAAAGCAATCTGAAAGTGAAATCATTTTCCTATATATCTAGCTGAAAGTGAAATCATTTTCCTATTAAGTAATAAAGATTAAAAAAATAGACAAAAATATAATTTGTTGCAAAAAAGAGAAATTTTGTAGAAAATTATTGACATATTTGTAATATTATAATCTTCTTGTTAAAAAACTAAATGTGAAAATTAAAAATTATTTCATTGACGACAGAAATGAAAAACAAAAAATTATGAACAAAGGATAATGTCTAATATGTGACCCCACTAACTAATTGGTTTGGTTGATTAAATCACCATGTTGTTGATCGAGTCGATGGTTTTTTATAACAAATAGTTTAGTGATAAATAAACCCAAAATGTTGGTTGTGTGACAAACTAGTCCAACTAGACATCATTTTGACTATGGGATAAAAAACACTAATAAAAAACTGATGCTCTAAAAATTGATCTACTACCATGGTTTTTTAACCGTCATTGACTCAGACGGTCGAACTATTCAGCCTGGGAACCATTTAGGCAACCGGTTTCATTTTACCCCAAACCTGGTCCTTAGCCAAAAATCGTTGAATCAGTCAACGACCTAATGACCTAGGCGGTCGAACCGCCGACCCGTTCAACGGTTTTTTGCCATTTTTTAATTTTTTGTCAGAATGGGTCATTTGTTTGGATCGGACAGTCGAATTGTCAACCCGAAAAGGCAAAAACCGGTGGCTAGAACAGTTCCAATTTTGGATCATTTTTTAAAACATTATCTACCACATTTCCCTCTCAATGAAATAAGTTAACTTGTTATTCATAAATTAAATAACAAAATAAAATGTAGATAATATTATAAAATTTATAAAAAATTTGAGTATGCCATTAATATTTTAAGTTTATCATATTAATCAAAATATATGTGAAAAAATGAGAATTACTATTATTAATTATGGAAATGGTTAAAATAAAAAGAAATAATGTCTTATCTATGCCCAAGTAGGTCAATGGTACAATTAATTAGATCATTTAATTATTGATTCCACGTGTATGCCACATTCCCTATGGATGGTAGGTGAGAGTTAAAATGGTAGATAGGAGACTGATGCTAGGGTACAGTCTTGCAGTACAGGTTACGGGTTCCAGGTGTATGCCACATTCCCTATGGATGGTAGGTGAGAGTTAGAATGGTAGATAGGAGACTGATGCTAGGGATACAGTCTTGCGGTATAGGTTACGGGTTCCAGGTGTATGCCACATTCCCTATGGATGGTAGCTCGAAGCCCGTGTGACTAGCCCATGTTCCAGCTTCCAACCTTCTAGTCCAAGGATTACCAAAAATAACTTCCAGTCCAACCATTCCGGAAAATACTGTACACTCAGAGTTCCGATTAGCTCCCCACCTATCGCGCCCAACATACATTCCAACCGTTCGTTGGGAACATCTCTCCCATGACAAGTGCATCAATGCTGTTGCAGCGTTTCCAAGCTCCCTAAACCAACAGGGAACAGGACACCGCCTTACTTGCAAGAAAAACAAAGGAATAAAACGCATCCACGTGTCTATCTATTATTGGCTAAGCCTCGCGTATACACATTTCTTCTAAGCAATATATCTCGGAGAGCCCGACGACTGGTGGAGGCCAGAGTGGAGAGAAAAGTCCTTTTGCAGCCCCACCTGACCACCTCTTCCTCCTATCAATGGATCGTTTCTTCCTCTCCGTTCTCCTTCTCCTCCTCTCCTCTCTGATTCTTGCTTCAGCAACTGATTCTACTGTTTCTTCCAATGAACCGGAAGATCTCTTAATCCGCCAGGTCGTCGCTCATGACGACGATCTTCTCATGAACGCCGAGCACCATTTTACCAACTTCAAGAGTAAGTTTGGGAAGAGTTACGCTACTCGCGAGGAGCACGCTTACCGTTTGGGTGTCTTCAAGGCTAACTTACGCCGTGCAAGGCGTCACCAGAAACTTGACCCCTCTGCCGTTCACGGTATCACTCAGTTCTCCGATTTGACGCCGGCGGAGTTCCGCCGGACTTACCTCGGCTTGAAGCGTCTTAGGATCCCTGCCGATGCTCACAAGGCTCCGATACTCCCCACCAACGATCTTCCAACAGATTTTGACTGGAGAGATCATGGCGCCGTCACTGCGGTTAAGAACCAGGTACAGTTACTGCTATGTTCTTCCGTTAGTTTTATCGATGCCCTTGATCATCGATCGTGATAGTTTTATCGCTGGTTTGGAGTGAAGTTGTTTGGTAAAAATCTGATTTTGATGATACCAATAAAAAAATCCGACCTTGACATTGTTGTTGTTGTTGTTGTTATTTTGAAAATTAGGGTTCTTGCGGATCGTGTTGGTCATTCAGCACTACTGGAGCCTTGGAAGGAGCTAATTTCCTGGCTACTGGAAAGCTAGTTAGCCTTAGCGAGCAACAACTCGTGGATTGTGATCACGAGGTTTGTATATCCCTTATTTTCTTGAATTTGGTTGGAGTATTTTCTTGTCGGCACGTCTGTTTTGTCGAATGTGGTGGATAGGATGATTATTTAGTTTGTTCCTTTCTTTTTTATCAACATCTAAATTGAGATAGTCTTCCTAAGAGTTTTTTGATTTAGATTGTATGTAGCGATAAGTTTTGCTAAGCATACGACGTATTAGAAGTATGTGTCATCCTCAACTAACTTTTCATTCGAATAGTCCATGGTTTAGAGTTGGATCATGTTCTCCATATTAACTGTATGATGATTTAGGTTGCTGATATTTTCCAGTAACCTATCAACAGATTTTTAGCATGTTTTCACAGCAATCGGATTATTTCATTTTCTTTATTTCCAATGAATATCTACATCTAATAAGTTGCCAGAAAATTATTTCTATACTATCACTGCACGTCCCAATTTGCTTGATTTTTCCTTGTAATTCGGACGACAATGTTTGGCACACAAGGAATTATTCTTTCTGGCCTTGTGTTAAATGATCCAGGTTATATACTGCATCTTGTACCTCCTCCATATACATCCCTCCTCGTTTTTAACTTCTTATTAATATAACCAGATTCCTTCTGAAAAACAAAAATAAAATAATTAATAGTGGAAATTGGAATTTAGCAGATATGCAAAGGTATTCCAAGGACCATGAATTTTTCCATACCATTTCCCTTTAAGACGAGCTTTACCAAATTTTGTCCGATTTCACTCTGCTGGAAGTGGTTGATATTTTAGTTCAACGATTTTGAGTTTTATAATGGCAGGAACTATCGCATCAAACTCCATCCTAATACCTTTTGGACCATAAATAGACTAGAGATGTTAAAGTTTAATGCCACTTAAGCTGCTATTTGTTGATACAAGCATTACTTGAAGCTGGTCTTCTGCTCTAGTTTACTGAGAAAGATGGTAATTTGAGATCTAATTTAATGGGGATTTTGACACGAGTTGTTGTTGGAGCAGAAATTATGAATTCATGACTTACCCAAAACCTTTGATGCCTCTGAGGTTTACGCCTCATGCATCTGAAGGTCTTGGCACTTTCAACAACTCACGCCTCACTTTTAGGCTTTGGCAGTAGACCACAAGTTATAGGAGTTAAGGCTTCATTTAGTTGAATTGAGTTAATGCCAAACCTGGGTTATCTCTTTCTTTTGCCTTCTAGACTTGGTTCAAAAGAAGAAACATATAGGTGCACCTTATGGTATTACCTGTAACTCCTATGTTAAAGATCACTTCTAAGTAACCTATGATGTTTTAACAGATTGTTGTTGAGAAATCCAAGCTGTGTTGCCAAGATTTCCTGTTAGGTGTGAAATGTGGATGAGAACCTCAACTGGTTTCTCTTGTATTGTTTTTTAAACACCAGTTTGTGACATTCTTTTTATCTTGAACTTTTATAATGATATTGTCTCACCTTTTTTTGCTTCATGGCTACACAACAGGGGTAGCCCATCCCCCATCCCCTTAACCCCCCAAACCCTAGTGGCAGTGGGATTTGATCCCAGATCTCCACTACGAGTCAGATGTTGTCTCACCTTATGACTTCGTAATTGTTGATTTGGGACCTTTTTCTTTCAGTGTGATCCAGATGAACCAGGCTCATGTGACTCAGGATGCAATGGTGGGCTAATGACTAGTGCCTTTGAATACACTTTGAAAACTGGTGGACTTATGCAGGAGGAAGATTACCCTTATACTGGAACTGACCATGGTACCTGTAAATTTGACAAGTCCAAGATTGTTGCATCAGTTGCTAACTTCAGCGTTGTCTCTCTTGATGAAGATCAAATTGCTGCAAATTTAGTGAAAAATGGTCCTCTTGCAGGTTGGTTCTAATTGAAGATGCATCACTTGGGCATGACTGCACATATAAACATTGGATTCTGGATTTTTGATAATGCCAATGCAATGATAATGGTTATAGATGGCTGACTATAGATCATACTAACTTTTGCTTTTCATGGTTGCAGTGGGTATCAATGCAGTTTTCATGCAGACATACATAGGTGGAGTTTCATGCCCATACATTTGCTCAAGGCGATTGAATCATGGAGTACTTCTGGTGGGATATGGTTCTGAAGGTTATTCTCCCATTCGCATGAAGGACAAGCCATATTGGATCATAAAGAATTCCTGGGGGGAAAGCTGGGGAGAGAATGGGTACTACAAGATATGCAGGGGCCGTGATGTTTGTGGGGTGGATTCCATGGTCTCAACTGTGGCGGCCATTCACACCACCCCTAAGTAGATTATGGAGTTACTAAGATTCATCACACTGGCTCCGGTGTACATAAGTGTGATATGTATATTGCGACTATCTTGTACTTGGTCTCATGAATCCTTAGAACCTCGTTGATCATGAATTATGAATCCTGATTACATTCTTAAGCAGGGATTTATGTTTTTAGACGGCCTCAGATGCAATGCATGACTATCATCTACTATCCCATGTTGATGTGAATGTTTTGGTACTTACATGAAATAAGACTGTCCGTGGAGGCACCTAAGAGAACTGAAATTTAGCTATTATATGATATGCTAAGAAGCTTCTCTGAATCGAATTGCTTTTTTACTTCCTTTCTTTTTACTCCTTTGAAGTAGCTGACGATTCTCCTTTGCATGCCCCAAAAAGACATTTAACGGATTTGAGGGAAGTCTCGTAGCCTTGGCAGAAGTTTTTGCCCACAAATCCGAGGTTAAAACACATTCAGAGTGTTTTAGAAATTAGGACTGGGAGTCTGGGACAGAAGTTCCAGGACTGACCTCTGAACAATCCTTGTTGATTAGTGGTTGAATATAAATAGAAGACCAGATATCGTGAACATTTAACAGGTTAGTGGGTTCTCAGACGCCTTTCTCTATGCTGAGGCCAAGATTTTGCAATATAATGCTAGCTGATCTTATTATTGCCAGATAATTCAACTCAACTCAGCTAAGGCTGCATTTGGCATTCGTTATTTTAAGGACTTATCTCATTTTTGTAGTTTTAACAGCAAAATGGAGATAAGTCCTTGAAATAAAGAATGTCAAATGCAGCCTAAGCCTTGTCCCAACATGGGTCGACAATTCGAATAGTAACCTTTGAACAAAAACATTTTGCTGTCCTGGGCTCCCAGCCCCATACCTAGTCACATGGCAACAGACTTTCTTGTTGACAGAGTTTCTGGATTGGGCACGATACCATGAGAGTGTGCAAATTAGTAATTGCATTCTGATTTATTTTGAATAAAAATAAAAGCATACCTGTAAATTGGTGAATTGCCGTGAACATGCCCAATTCAGAAACTCTCTTAACAGGAAAGGCTGTTGTTCCCCAACAGCCAAAGTTAACCCAGTCACATGGTTGCCATGTTGAAATCATTTTGACTTACAGAATCGTTGGCGGGGCTGCACTCGGCAGCATCAAGTAGTTCCCTGCCACACAGAGGATAACGAAAATCGTCAATACCGGTTAAGAAAATATAAAACTTGTGGAGTATTAGGAAACTGGCCAAGTACTATTGCTTCTGACTCTTATTGCAACCACCGTAGCAACAAATTCCAATTCTCTTTTGGCAAATTCATTAGGACTAGCGTTTGAGATCAATTATTTGGAGACCCGTACAACAATTTTTGTTGAATTAAAAGCACTCTCTCCTATTGTTAAACCATAATGGTTCAAAATATCAGTATTCCACCCCTGGAAAATGAGGACATCGATGATTAGTGGAGAAGAATTAAAAGAAAAAAAAAAACAAATAATTATGTTAAGGATACTCACTACCTGGAAAAAATCAGTACAATTTTGTGGTATATATGAAAAAATAGAAATATAGAATTTTTGAAAATAAATTCTACCCCTAAATAGTAAAGAAGATAATTAGAAATTTGCCTAAAACATATCTACAAGTGTACCACCAAAAAGAAGATTCCTGCAATAAACATGAGGATTCAATACACAAGATGAAAATCCCCACAAAAGGGGCTATTAAGATAAACTTTGATGCATGGAGAAAATATGATTTTCTTTTTTTGGGTAATAGGAGAAAAGATGATGAAAGGTGTGCATTTGGAGTAATTGCAATAAATATGGGAGGGCTTTAACAAGGCAGAGAGGCCTTGGCAGCTTTGGAAGCTCACTTGGTTGCGGGGCAGTTCCAAAAACCAACCCAAAATCGCAACCATTCTGGCCATGTCAATGGTTCGATTAACCGGTTTAAATGAATTATCTTTTTTAATTTAAAAAATTAAAAATAGTTAAAAATAAAAAAATGACCAGAACCGCTAAATTGATTGAATGGGTCAACAATTCAATTGTCTAAATCAGTAAATCACTGATCAAATCAACGGTTTTTAATTAAAAACCAGGTTAAGGATGAAACGAAACTAATTGCCTAAATGATTTCTGGACCAAACGGTTCGATCGTCTAAATCAATGCCAGTTCGAAAATACTGTGCAATTCAGAAGTACAAGGATCATCGCCGAAAGAGATTCAAAGCTAGTTATGATAATTCAAGGTATCCTAGATCCCCCTTGGAACGTTGCACCCATTGTGTCAAAGAATGCTATCAAAACATGCAACAATTTCGAATTGTGTCAAGCTACCCCCAAGTGGTTTATAATCTTTTTCCTACCTATCAAATAAAGCTCAACAAACTGAAAGAAGAAAGATAGGATTCCAATAGAAATAGAAGATCACTAGGTCATCTGAGTTCACACTAATGTTGAATTGCGTACCCATTACGAGATCATAATGTAAGGATATTTCAATGTACGAACCACTGAATTGATCTAACATGTTATCACATTGTGCAATTTGCAACAACACGAATGTTGACCGGAACATTGTCAACAAACTAAGCAAGTTACATAGATCAAAGTTAATAAGATTGTTCGGTAAAGATCAAGGTAAATTGAGTTGACAATACTTATCTACTTATACCGCTTCAGAGATAATTAAATATGTGAAACACAGAATTTATAGAACCAAGGGTTTTGTAGCAGCGAAATACTGGGGAAAGTGAAAAGAAAGGAAGAACAATTACATCTTTGAAGTAAGAAATGATTAGATGGGCTTATTCTATAGGGATGATGAGCTGCACCAGTTGCATTGGCTCCAAGCGGAATATCTCCATGGATGGACAGACAACATACGCCCTCCCCCATTCTGCTTCCATGTTCCTACCCCTTTCCCACTTCTTCACACGTGATACTTCCCTTTTCTAAAACTAACAAACTAGATTTCTTCTTTGCTTTGGCCCCACACCATTTCGAGGTCCTCATTAGTTTTAGAGGATCGGGGTTGTTTGGTTCGTAGGAATAGGGGTTTAGAATCAGAATGGTTCCAACCATTTGTTTGGGTGGAATCAGAATCCAATTCCTATTCCTACTGGAATGACATTATTTCATTTGAGGGAATGACCATTTCTTCCTCTTCTCTTGGGAATGAAAATCTATTCCAGCCAATTCTAATTGTGATTTTGATTATAGTCTGAACCAAATAAGTGAGAGAATAGGCCATTCTGATTCCGAAAGATTCTGATTCTAATTCCAACTACAAAGCAAATGGACACTAAATGCAAACAAAAAAAACACCAAAACACCAAAACCAAAGCAACCAACCACACAAAAAACATGGATCTACTGCAACTACAAATGTGTGAACAAGGCTACGTAACTAATCACATATATATGGAACATTGTCATCTTAACTGGTGTTTTGTTACATAACCTAATTCATGAGTCCAAAATTTTTACCTACAAAAATCCATCACAACACACCAACATGATCTGCATGTCCATATTATGTGTCGGATCCACCATAAGATTGGGATCCATCATGCATGTGATGTGCGGACATTGATCTTGTTAAGATGTGGGGCTTTTGTCGGTAAAAGACCCTGCTTTCTAAATCCCTGATTCACACATCACATGCCAATGTTCATAGTTGATGCTGATTTCTTTTGGTGCTAGAGGATTAAACTGATTCATTAGATTGGGTTGGGGTTGAGAGTTATGCTTTTGGGGGATGGGCGACTCCCGTTGTGTAGACCATTCATTAGCCATAAGATTAGAAAGCCAATCATAGCCTCGGGAATTAGAAAAAATCCACTCATCTCTCAAATAGGCCCATTGCGCCACAACATGGGCCACCTAGTTTACCAACCTAGGCACATACTGAAAAATTGAACCACATCTGGAATTGGGGTTGTAGCCCCATGGACCATGGTCCCTCTTTGACCCGTTTGAGGAATGATCAGACTCGTCCACAGGCATGATGGAGAAAGTCAAATATTCTATTTAGCCCAATATGTTGGGAAGCTAGTACCTAACCAAGAGAAGATGAAAATCAGTCATCTCCAATGTGGTCTCTTCGCAAAGAAGAAGATATCGTCAACCTCCAGCAACCTTTGCTTCTTGGATGACTCATCTTCTAAGACTCCACAAAACCTTCCCTTGAAGATAAACTGATTATCTTTCTAGGTGAATGGTTATGAGCTGATCATCTCACAATGGATGATGGCCAAATAGTCAGCTATTTTCTTGAACTGGTCAATGATCTTCGCCCTTCTATTGTGCACTAGATATACATGTAAACATTATTGACTGGCCAGGCTTTACATAATCAAGCATTTGGAGCACCCACTCAAAACAATATCACAGAATAATCATCATTGGATATGGCAAATCGGACCTGATCCAATACAACAAACTCTAGTCAGCCTTCCAATATTAACCTTCATCTCTCCACCCAGGTACACGTTGTTCAATTAACCCTTGCTATACTGAATAGTTTATATTTTCTCTTGTTGGATTATTTGCAATCTCTTCTCGTTCTGATATTACACTCCATATTTATTCTCTCATGGAATGCAAGAGGGGTGAACTAGGGGTGAGTATTATTTGGTTAAAACCGAAAAAATCGAATTGAAATTTTTTATTTAGTTTTTTTTTTGTTTTTGATTATTCTAATTTTGTAAAATTTTGGTTTCGATTTTATTTTTCATCAGGTTTAGAATTTCGGTTAATCAAAATAACGAAAAATCAAACTGAAAATTTCAGTTTTTCATTTAAAATTTTGATTTTAAAATTTTCGATTTATTGAATTTGATTTTTAATCAAATAAACCATTTGTTCACCCCTAAGATAAAGAACCTTAAGACGATGCCACATGTACTTAATTTATGTAGGACTGAAAAACTAGAATTCCTTTTTCTTGTAAATCCACCTAACCGAGGTTATATGTCAATTGCTAGATAAGAAGATCAAATATCAACACTTGCACTTGCAATGAAGCCATGAGGAATTCAGGTGGCTGGGGTCTCTTCTACTACTAGAGTAGTAGTATCTCCGCTACAGTATGTCATGTACATCCCCATTTCTTCATGTAGACATAGAAGAAAAAGAACTTTGGACCTTATTACTCAAATATCAACTGACCCCAATTCAAACACTTTGGTTATTAATGGGTGACATGAATGATGTTCTTTTTCTACATGAACATAGGAATTATCGTATCATCACCCCAAAAATCTCAA